AAATAAGGTTGGGCAAAGGGGTGGTCTTTAGAGATCTCTCCAGGGCAGACTGCATAAGGACTGATAGTATTGCTCTGTTATTTTATATTGCATTAATTCTGTATAACCAACATTATTTGTATGCTTAATAAACTGTTGAAATCCACCATTTTGGTTTGTCAAGATTGAACTTATTTTCTGGTTGCAGGCTCAGTTACAAATGAGTCTGATACCCTAACAATATATATATGTAAGTATAGTGTGTTCCTAATACAATATGTTACTGCTGAAATGCCAGGGTCACCCCTCTTTTACATAAGTGGGAAGTGGATTTTTCCACTCCATATTGTTGCTCAATGATCTCTGCTGGAATATTTATTGTTACAATTCTTTTTATCATAACAAAGCACAGATGTTGATGTATGCTCACTATTGTGTACATTCACCAAGGACACACTAAAGGAAACTATGAATGGTTGTACCCAGCTCAGATTTGATAACCTCTCCGGTCAAAATGACCCTAACTGCCAGCATCCAATGGTATCTTTCTTCAGCATGAATTGCTGTCTTCAGGAGAGGAGAGAGACTAGAAGAATAAATTTTAAAAAACTGGAGATACATTCAGTTTCCCAGATTTAAACAACAGGCATCAGCTACAATACTGATAATGATATTAAACTGTTCCAGATTGATTCTGAGGGTGAGAAGGTGAAGCAGAAAGTTTTGCGCACAGTTGTGTTTTCTTTCCAATTAATTGTGGCAGAAATGCAAACTCTCAAGTCTTACTTTGAGGTTTGATCCTCATCCTCACCTTTAAGGCCATCCATGGCCTTGCCCCCTCCTACCTCTCTGACCTGCTGACTCCCTACCAACCTGCCCCCTCCCTCCGTTCAGCGGACTCCGGCCTGCTCCATGTCTCCCGCCTGACCCGCCCTACCATCGGTGGCCGGGCTTTCAGCCTCTCTGCCCCCACACTCTGGAACTCCATCCCACGGTCCCTTCGCCTCACTTCCTCAGTCGCATCCTTCAAGGCTGGTCTCAAGACCCTTCTCTTCGACCGTGCCTTTGGTCTCCCTCCTACCTCTCTGCCTTCCCTCACCTCTACTACACCCCTCCCCCATACTCAGGCCCCGACACCTGACTGTTCAGTGCTTTGGGACGTCCTCCCTGCGTGAAAGGCGCTCTCTTAATGTAATTTTGTTGTTGCTGTTTAATTACCTGGAAAGCTTTTGAAATTCCCTTTGAGTCATTTTGTCTCCTGAATGCTCAATGCATCTCATTCAATGATCTGTGGCTAAGAGCTACTCTCCCCAGTTTAGAAAGAATTTGTCCTTGTATGCGTATTGATAAATGTCATTGCAATTTTAAATAGCATGGTATTATAGCTCTAAAATAACATTATACTTTAAAATTTCATTCATTATACATTAGCTCACAAGGACAAAATGGAGTAAGTTACCAGAGAAAAATATGCTTCACCTACATCAATGAGTTTGCTAATATAGTGAACAGAGCTGAATAACTATGTTTTATAGCAGAAGATGGAAACTGGATTATGCATCAATTTGGTTACTGTTTTCTGCTGTGAACCAGGTACAACAATGCATAGACACAAGAGGGATTTTCTATAAATTCACAGGAAATCAATTAGGCTGATGTATCAGGCAATGCCCAAAACGTTAATCTTGCTTACTTGGGGGTTGCTAATTGATATGATATGGATTTCCAGGCTTTCTGCTTTGTTTCACATTTACTTTTTTATCCCAACAAAGCTTAGATGTTGGTGCTTGCTCACTCTTCTGTACAATCAGCAAAGCACATTAAAGGAGCTATGAATGGCACTTCCCTGCATCAGAGGAAATTAACAGAACAATAAAAATGAATACGTACTACTCCAGTTCCTATTAGCAACCTCTTAAGCAGAGGGCTGAATGCAGAATATGACTGAATTTTAACAGAGTACATTGGAGTTGTGGGAAGCAGCTCTCCTCCATAACCAGGAAGGAGACCAGTTTGAGTTTCTTACTGACATGACCCATATAGTAGGGTGACCATACTTCTCCAATTTCTGGGGACAGTCCCCAGATAAGGTATTGTGTCCTTGGCCAAATTTGTCCAATCTTGAGGTTGGCAACAAACTGAGCAAAAACAGTAACATTTTAAAAACAGATACACTCCTCAGAGCCATTAACCCAACAAGCTCCTCCAGGACAGCCAGCATCAGGAATTGTGTTGAGTTCAATACTGTTATGCACATGTCCCCTGAGTTTTGGTTGACCAAATATGATGACCCTGCCAATAACCGGGTCAGCGATTAAGGGCATTTTGTGCATGTGGGGTTCTGGAGTTGGCACATTGTTTGCAGGCTATGGCCAGGCTGTGGGGACTCAGGCCACACACAACCTGTCAAGTGCAGCAGGAAGTGAGTCTGGGCCTGAGTTTCTCTCTCTGCTCACTTCACCTCAAACCCGTCTGCTGTTAAACTGCACTGACATCACTACAGCAGCCAAAACACAGAGAGACAGAGAACACACACACACAGACACACAGAGACACACACACACAGAGACAGACACACACACACAGAGACAGACACAGACAGACAGACACACACAGAGACACAGACACACACACACACAGAGACAGACACACACACAGACAGACACACACACACAGACAGACACACACAGACAGACAGACAGACAGACACACACAGAGACAGACACACACAAAGAGACAGACAGACACTGAGACAGACACACACACATACAACAACAACAAGATTCCATTTATAGAGCACTTTTCACGTCGGGAGGACGTCCCAAGGTGCTGGACAGTTGGGTCAGGGGGGAAATGGTCAGGGTGAGGGGAGGAAAGGGAGGGAGCGAGGAAGGGGGAAATGGTCAGGGTGAGGGGAGGGAAGGGAGGGAGCGAGGAGGGGCTAGAGAGTCGAGAGGGGAGCTGAAGGCTCGGTCAAAGAGAAAGGACTTGAGACCGGCCTTGAAGGAGGAAAGGGAGGAGGCGGCGAAGGCACTGGGGGATGGAGTTCCAGAGCCTCGGGGCTGAGCGGCTGAAGGCCCGGCCACCGATGGTAGGGCGGTTGGGGCGGGGGATGTGGAGCAGACTGGAGCCGGAGGAACGGAGGGTACGGGCGGGTAGGTGGGGGATAGTAGGTTGGAGAGGTAGGAGGGAGCAAGGCCGTGAATGGCCTTGTAGGTGAGGATGAGGATCTTGAAATCAATCCTCTGGGGGATGGGGAGCCAGTGGAGGCGAGCGAGGGTGGGAGTGATGTGGTCCCGAAGCCTGGTGCGGGACAGTACACGAGCTGCAGAGTTCTGAATGACCTGCAGCTTGTGGAGGGAGGTGGCGGGAAGGCCGGCGAGGAGAGAGTTCCCATAGTCCAGCCTTGAGGTGATAAAGGCGTGAACCAGAGTTTCAGCAGCGTGAGGGGTGAGGTAGTGCCGTAGTCTGGCGATGTTCCGGAGGTGATGGAAGGCGGTGCCAGTTGTGGTGCGGATATGAGGAAGAAAGGACAGCTCAGGGTCGAACAGAACGCCGAGGTTCCTGACTGGCTTTGAGAGGTGGAGAGTGCAGCCTTGGATGCTGATGGTGTCAGCGCCTGAGGTGCGGAGGCGCTGACGTGAGCCAATCAGGAGGGCCTCGTTTTTCGCACGTTGAGCTGAAGAAAGTTGTCTCTCGTCCAGGACTCGATGTCGGACAGGCAGCTGTCAGGACATCGGTGGTCGTGGAGTTGAGAGTAGAGGAGGAAAGGTAGAGTTGGGTGTCATCCGCATACATGTGGAAGTTAACCCCATGTCTGCGGATGATGTCACCACAGTGGGAGCATATAGAGGGTGAAGAGGAGGGGACCGAGGACAGAGCCCTGAGGGACACCACATGAGACAGTGCGGGGGGTGGAGGAGAAGCCGTTCGTGGAAACAAAGTGAAGACGGTGGGAGAGGTACGACCTAAACCACTCAAGGACAGGGCCTTGAAGGTTGAGGTGGGAGGACAAGCGGTGGAGGCTCACACACAGAGACAGAGACACACACACACACACACAGAGAGACACAGAGAGGGAGACCGAGCAGCCATCGGCCGGCCGGCCGGCCATTCCTCACAGGCACCGCTCCTCACCCTGTCTGTGTCTCTGTCTGTGATGATGAGAGGAAATTAAACCCTAAGCAAATTAAGTTCTGAACATGTCCCTGAGGATCAAGAGTTAGTTCAAGTTGAGGCAGAAGTGAGGGCAACCCGTTGAGCGCTTGTGGGAGGGGTTTTGTGTGTGGGGGATGGGGTGGGGGGGGAGTGTGTGGGGGGGGGGGTTAGGGTTAGTGTGTGTGGGGGATGGGGTGTGTGGGGAGTGTGTCGGGGGGGGGGGGGGGGGGGGGTAGGGTTAGTGTGTGTGTGGGGGATGGGGTGTGGGGAGGGGGGGGGGAGTGTGTCGGGGGGGGATGGGGTGTGGGGGGGAGTGTGTCGGGGGGGGGATGGGGTGTGGGGGGGGAGTGTGTGTGGGGGGGATGGGGTGTGGGGGGGAGTGTGTGTGGGGGGGATGGGGTGTGGGGGGGGAGTGTGTGGGGGGGATGGGGTGTGGGGGGGAGTGTGTGTGGGGGGGATGGGGTGTGGGGGGGGAGTGTGTGGGGGGGGATGGGGTGTGGGGGGGGGAGTGTGTCGGGGGGGGGGATGGGGTGTGGGGGGGGAGTGTGTGGGGGGGGGATGGGGTGTGGGGGGGGAGTGTGTCGGGGGGGGGGATGGGGTGTGGGGGGGGAGTGTGTGGGGGGGGGATGGGGTGGGGGGGGAGTGTGTGGGGGGGGGATGGGGTGTGGGGAGGGGGGGAGTGTGTGGGGGGGGGGATGGGGTGTGGGGAGGGGGGGGAGTGTGTGGGGGGGGGATGGGGTGTGTGGGGGGGAGTGTGTGGGGGGGGGATGGGGGGGGGGGGGAGTGTGTCGGGGGGGGGGGATGGGGTGTGGGGGGGAGTGTGTGGGGGGGTGGAGGGGTTAATAAAATAAACTGGCACTTACCAGAAAAAGATGTGAGAGAAGAGATTCGCCGTCTCCATGGGATTTCGCTTCTCTTCTTTATGTAGCGGCTCCATAGTGGGGGCTGTGTGTGTGTGTGTGTGTTGTGCTGCTGTGTCTCTGCTGCTGCTTCAGGCTGTGTGTGTGTGTGTGTGTGTCTATGTCTCCATGTGGCTCTCTGTGGTTGTGAGGGTCTGTTACTGTCTCTCTGCTGCTGCTCTGCCTCTGGGTGTGTGGGTGTGTAGGTGCCGCTGTCTGTGTGTGTGTGAGTGGGTGTGTGTGTGAGTGGGTGTGTAGGTGCCGCTGTGTGTGTGAGTGGGTGTGTGTGTGTGTGAGTGGGTGTGTAGGTGCCGCTTCCTGACAAGGCACTAATGGCAGCTCAGCAGTGCTCCAGGTGGAGGTTCAGCGCCGGTCACACACACACTGCACGTCAATCCCCTCCTCCCGTGTCTCCATCCCGCCCTCTGGTCATCTCCAGTTTCACTCTCTAACAGCGTAACGGTGGAGTAAAGTGTAAGTATAAAATAACATCTCCCAAGTCAGAGTGGCACTGCAATGGCTTCCCCTCCCCTCCTGCAAACTCTCAAACACAGGTTCCTGGATTAGAGTATGGAGATCACTCATTGCTGCCACAGGAGGGATTAAAGGATCTCAGTGGATTGCCAGACCATTTTTTTCCTTTACAACCTGGTGATACTGCCAGAAATAGACACCACCCCTTCTGTCTCTCAGCCTGTCAACAATTCTCTATACTATCCTATAATTTATAATTTCAATTTACAACATGCAAGATATTGCTTGCATATTACTTAATAATAATAATAACAACAACAATCCTTGCATTGTATAATAATAATAATCCTTGCATTTGATATAGCGCTTTTCACGTCGGGAGGACATCCCAAAGCGCTTCACAGAACACACTGTAAAGTGAATTGACTGTATATTTGTGAGCGAACGCGGCTGCCAATTGCGCACAGCAATGTCCCACAAACAGTCGTAGATTGAAAATGACCAATTTTTATTGTTTTGGGTTTTGGAGGATTATTATTAGGCTCTGTGTGGAGTAAGGAAACTTGCCCAAGGTTTCGCCCTCTGCCTGGAATTGAACTCCGGTCTCTCACTTGCAAAGCGAGTGCTCTAACCACTGAGCTACAGGACTCCACGAACTATAGCGCCTTATCCCATCTTTCAGACGTCTCAAAGTGCTTCACAGAATATACTGTAAAGTGAATTGACTGTATATTTTGTGGGAGAAACTTATCTCAATTTATTTGCACTGGTATCTCAATTTCATACCAGTACTAATGGGAAAATCACTCATGAGATCTAGAAGCTGCCTTGCAATAGCTGCTAGCACAGAGTAAACATATTTTCTTTCATGATTTTGCTTTTTTTTACTTATATATGCAATCTTAAAACTATACTGGTTTTATTATTGATATAGGCAGTGCTGTAAATCATCTGTAACTACGGTATCTTTTAGGAGTCCCATAGCGTAGTGGTTAGTGCGCTTGCTTCTTGAAGACGTGAAAAGCGCTATATCAAATGCAAGGATTATTATTATTATTTGCAAACAAGAGGACCCAGGTTTGATTCCCAGGAGGTGTGAAATCTTAGGTAAGTTTCCTTACTCTAAATGCCTCTGTTAACCTAGTCGTACGTAGAAACCTGATAGTTAGTCAATTGATGGATCGCTTTGACGGATAATGGTCAGCCTGGTGTAGTGGTAGCACTCTTGCCTCTGAGGTTGTGGGTTCAAGCCCCATGTTGGGACTTGGAATCACATCATCTAAACTGACACTCCAGTGCAATGCTGGGTGGGGGCGTTGAACTGTCGAAAATGCTGTCCTTCAGATGAGATGTCAAACCAAGGTCCCATCAGTCTCTTCAGGTGGATGTTGAAGATCTTATGGCACTATTCGAAAAGAGAAGGGAATTTCTCCCGGTGTCGTGGCCAACAATCCCCTTAAATACGCAGTCAATCCGCTTTACAATCCACAACAATCCACTGTGAAGTGATTTAAGACTTCTCAACAATGCGCTAAGGCACGATATCAAATGTAAGCATTATTATTGTTTCCTGTCATAAAAATATGGTGCATCATTTATCAATCAAGTAACATCTATTGTATTTTACTTATCTATGTCATCAACTGTAATGCAGTAATCCTTCATAATAAACTTTGAATTTTGATGTAGTATTTTACGACTTCATCAAAACAAGTCACGGTGAAGGATTGTGACTCTGTATCTTGTAGGCAAACGCACAACCAATTTGTCCAAAGCAATACCTCACAAATGGATTCTTTGCCATACACCTCAATAGGCAAAAGGGACCTCAGTTTAGTATCTCATTCAACAGATGGCACCTCCAACAATGCAGCACTCCTGACCTCCTGACCTGAGGTTTCAGCAGGTAGTAGTTTCCCCTCTGACTCAGAAGGTTGTGAGTTTAGGCTTTGCATTGGGACTTAGAGCTCATAATCTTAGATTATCTAAACATATTCATAAATGATCTGGAGCTAGGAGTCACAAGCATATTGGCTAAATTTGCAGACTACACAAAGCTAATGAAGATCATAGACTGCAAAGATGAACAGGATAGGTTACAGGAGGACTTAAACATACTTGGGAATTGGGCAGATCAATGGCAGATGAAATTCAATGTTGAGAAATGCAAAATGCTTCACATTGGGACAAAAATCTAGGAAGGGACTATTATTCAAATGGAAATAAAATAATCTGTACCAAAATTGAAAAGGATCTGGGGGTTCTGATTTATAATAAATTGAAACTATCGCAACAATGCTTGGTAGCAGTGAGTAATAAGGCAAACCTGTAAGGCCTTTAAGTAAGGCTGGGTTCTATTAATAGGTCAATATTGAGCCAAAATAGTGGGGTAATCCTGCCACTTTATAAATAACTGATGCAATCACACTTGAAATATTGTGTGCAGTTCTGGTTACTGCTATATAAAAAGGATATTGCAACGATTGAGAGGATGCAGAGGGAGGCAACCAAAATGACTCAGGGGATGGAGGGATTATAATAATAGTAATAATAATCCTTGCATATAATATAGCGCTTTTCACGTCGGGAGAATGTCCCAAAGCGCTTCACAGAACACACTGTAAAGTGAATTGACTGTATATTTGTGGGCGAATGCGGCAGCCAATTGCACACAGCAACGTCCCACAAACAGTCGTAGATTGAAAATGACCAATTTATTATTGTTTTTGGGTTTTGGAAGGATTATTATTAGGCGTGTGGAGTAAGGAAACTTGCCCAAGGTTTCGCCCTGCCTGGAATTGAACTCAGGTCTCTCGCTTGCAAAGCAAGTGCTCTAACCACTGAGCTACAGGATAGAACAGGCTCCCTAGGGAGACCGTGGAAGCAGAAAGTGTTGTTCATCTTGAGAACAATTAGATAGATTTCTGATGGAAAATAAAATCTCAGGATATAGTGTATAGTTTGGGACACATTGTCAAGCAACTGCCAGGATGGTGGAAGGTGAACTAGATGGACCTTGGTCTTCTTTCACCTAGCAAATTCTTATGTTCTTATGTTCTCATCAATAGGAGGAACAGGGGCTCATGTGGAGTATAAACAATGGCATGGATGATTTAGATCAAATGGCCTGTTTCAGTGACGTATCACTCTATGTCCAATGCACACTATTAATACGCAGCAGGATGCATCTCTCCAGTGTAGGTGGGATTCATGGAACTCTCAGTTTGGTTTGGATACTCTTAAGCATGGTGATAGACATCCGGCTGACCAAAAAAAAAGCTTTGAATAGGATGCTTGTTCTACTCTCTCAAAATGTGTGAACTGCAAATAAATTCTCTGCCACATTATGCAAATGTTATCATAATATGGCCTTGTGCTATCTTGTTTTTTTCACATTTCAAGTCATTAGGAGAGGGCCTACGATAGTTCAATGTAATTCTGTCACATTCTTTGTAGGGATAGTGGAAATCTCACTCCCTTTCGTGCAAGGTCATCCTTTGTATATTAACCATGTGAGCCTTCTAAATCAGACTGTACATGTGAAAAATATAAAATCCATGCAATTGATGAGATAGCATTTGTTGATACCAAATTGGAGGTAAGGTAACTATGAGGAACAACACTGGAAGCTGCAGGAGACATAGACCACTTAGCAGACAGGCATAAAGTTGACAGGTACAGTTCAATGTTGAAATATTTGTCTTTAACCGTGCCTTCAGCTCACCTCTTGACTCTCTACCCACTCCTCGCTCCCTCCCTTCCCTCTCTTTCCTCACCCTGACCATTTCCCCCTTGCTCGGGTCCTGACCCAACTGTCCAGCGCCTTGGGACGTCCTCCCAACGTGAAAGGCGCTCTATAACTGCAATCTTGTTGTTGCTGTTGAAATAGATGCCAAAACAACAACTTACTTTCTGGTTGACAAAGTGGTTTCAAAGCAAGTTGTCTGTCTGTACCAGGATCTATCACTGAGGACTCAGGAACACTTGTGGCATCAATAGGAGCGACTTGACTTATCTAGACTATAGTCAGAATTAGGATATTTGTTGCAATTTGTGAATCTCTAATGTGCTCTACACCCCCAGATATTCATCTCTTCCTCTCCTATTTGAATATGACCAAAAACAGCTGATAGATCAATACTTCCTCTTAGAACAATATGATAGTATTTCATAAAGGTCAATGCTCATCTCCTTTTCACAACTAAGTTTCTTTGTTACTCCAGAGTTAAACATGTACCATTTTAGCTGTGGAACACTGTTTAAGTCCCTGCTTAATTTCTTTCAAAAATGCCTTGGCTTGTCAAATTGATCTTTCTCCAGTTCTATCGATTCCACTTCAGGAGAGATAAGAATGTTCACAGTTGCTCTAGCACACTGGTAACATCTGGCTAATTTCTTCCTCATCTGTTTCTCAATTTTCTATTCAGCAAAATAATTTAGTCGCTTACATATGACTTTTCAAAACCAGTTTACAATTTCTTTGTAATCATAACGTTAGGACAATACGTTTTGGTTTAATGCCTGTTTAGGCATGGTCCTCAAGAAATATATGGAAATTGCTCACTTTCCAATAAGCATCAATATCTTTTGCAGCATATGCCACATAAACATGGCAGTTAGATAAGCCTGAAGAAATTCAATTGCTTAAAAGTCTGCATGTTACTTAAATCTTCCACAGTTAGGAAAATTGGTGTGAATCATGGTATTTTGTAAGAATGTCCGTCCAGTAGGGTCCATA